CAAGTCCCGGATATTTTTCTTGTAGTTTTCATTGTTTGGCAGACCTGGGCCAGGTTCAAACCCTCCAGCCCCAGTGTATGTGACCAGCACCCTAGTGGCGGAGCTACAGGTGCCGAGCCTCACCATGACATTTTCATATAAAATGTACACAACTTATACTGTATGAGGTAAGTAAAGCACAAAAGTATACATGCCAGTATTGGTGGCCTTTCATTTCTATTGTGTCAACCAAAAAAGGGTAGTGTGTACTCTGGTTTTGTGGATGTTGTGCCATCCCCTTTCCTCCGTGTTAGACAACACATGAGGGAATATGTCTCTTCTATACTTACCTTATTAGGTAATTCCAGTCCTTCATATAAGTCAGAACAAATTCTCTTCACTCATTTAACTAAAAGTGAAATTCAATCTCCCTCTTGCTTCTTGGTAAATATGTTTGTCTTTCAGGAACTGTTGACATTTAAGGATGTTTCTGTAGAGTTCTCTATGGATGAGTGGGCCTGCCTGGACCCTGCTCAGCAGACTTTGTATCAGGATGTCATGTTGGAGAACTACAGACACCTGGTCTTCCTAGGTGAGGATAACTGAAATACACAGTTCCTGGTCTACACTAAATAATTCATATTCTCTCTTTGTAAAAGGTTTTTATTCAGTTTCTGCTTTGGCTGCATGAGTATCAGTTTCTTGGCTTCTTTTTGTTTCTTTTTTCTTTTGCATTTTTGGCTGGGGCTGCGCTTAAACCTGCCACCCCTGGTATATGGGGCCAGTGTCCTACTCCTTGAGCCATTGGTGCCGCCCCAGTTTCTTGTTTTTAAGGAAAATTTAGGTATATCATGGTACAGAAAAGAAAATTTTGAAGATGACTTACAGTGGCATTAATCTTACCCTTTTTTTGGCTGATTGATATACTTCACTAGATTAATGGTAATTTCAGAAATTTAGTGGCATAGATTGCTACCCCCACCTTTAAGTCTGATTTCTATCTAGCACCAAATTTTATTTTAGTACTACTGGATGGTGGAGTTAAAAATCCTCCAACTTTAAATACTTTTTAAAGATTTGAAAATTTCTGTAAGGAATGTGTATTTGACAATTACCGTTTCAGGATGTTCTAAAGTGTTCTTTTCTCTACTTTAGCAAGGTAATAGATGACCACTTAAAGAATTCCAACAAGAGTCATGTTCCTTTTTTCTAATAAAACAGGTCTTACTCTCTCTAAGCCAGACCTCATCACCTGTCTCGAGCAAAGCAAAGAACCCTGGAAGGTGAAGTCACACCAGACAGTAGTCAAGCACCCAGGTAGGTTGGAATGCAACAGATAATAGTGGTCGGAGGTCCAAAGTTCAAGGAGGAAATTACACAACATAATAAGATTAGGGAAGCTCAGATTAATTGGGAATGATTTCTGAGAATACTGGGTTTCTTTCGCTTGTTCTTACATAAGGGCACTTCTATACTGGTCTTTATAACCTGTCACCCTGGGTGTATGTGGCTGGCACCCTGCTCAGTCAACCACAGGCATGGCCTATTTTATTTTATGTTTGAGACAGCGTCTCACTTTGTCACTCTTTGTATTTTGCTGTGGCATGATAACTCTCAGCAACCTCAGTTTCTTGGGCTCAAGCAATCCTCTTCCTTAGCCTCTCAATTAGCTGGGACTAGGCACCCATCCCAACACCTCGCTATTTTTAGAGATAGGGTCTCACTCTTGCTTAGGCTGATCTTGAACTCCTGAGCTCATCAATGCACCAGATTCAGCCTCCTAGACTGGTAGGATTAGAAGCATGCACCACTGTGCCTGGCCTTCCGTTATTTTATATAATTTTATTCAAATGTATCTCTCTTTGGGGAGAACCTGTATTATTTCATTTGTCATAATGTGAAGATTTATCTTTATTAGAGATGCTAGAAGATTTCCTGATTGTTAGAAGCTGAGTAATACTCTATTAGTTCTATACCCTAAATTATACTTTCCCATTTATATTTTGAGGCAGATGTGGATTTCTTTCACCTAATGAATTCTGTGAATAATGCTGCAATAAATATGTGTGCGAATAGCTCTTCATTTGACTATGTACATGAGGGTTGTAAATCTGTCCTACATTTTGTTTCATTATGTATTTTATATATATGCAAAATATTAAAAAGGAATTATATGCTTCTAATAAATAAGCCCTTACATTATTATTTTGTATTCTTTACCTTTCCAGGAAATTTTGACTTAAAGTATATTTTATGAAATGACACAGGTTTTGCCTCAAAATACATTGTGCCCTGGCTGGGCACAGGGGCATGTATCTGTACTGACAGCAATCTGGGAGGCTAAGATGAGACAGCAGTTCTTGTTTTTTACATCTGTACTCAAATATTTTATTGATGTCGGTAATTATGTGTTTTTATATTGTACATGTAGACTCATTAGCAGAGCTTTAGTGCTACCTTTCTGTTTTTGTCTCTGAACTCTCAAGTATGATTAGAAGTTTTCATGCACCACCGTTATAACAATACAGAATTTCACGGAGGTGTACTTAGTTATCCTTCCCAGAGTTTTTTGTTTTTACATAATTCAGTATTGTTGTCTAGCATCATTTCATTGTCAAAGAAAGGACCTTCCTTCAACATTTCTTCTTATTTTTTAAATTTTTTTTGAGACAGAGCCTCAAGCTGTCACCCTAGTTAGAGTGCCATGGCATCACAGCTCATAGCAACCTCCAACTCCTGGGCTCAAGCAATTCTCCTGCCTCCACCTCCCAAGTAGCTGGGACTACAGGC